CACCTTAAACAAACCATCCTTCATTCAAAATCTGCAAGCCTTTATTAAGCAATTAATAGGTGAAAGAAATTGGAGATTATAAAGATGAGTAAGAACAAATTCTGGCCTCCTAGTAATGTGCAACTTAAAGGTGGAGCTAAGAAACCAAATAACTTGTGGCAAACAGGTACAAGTGTTATCACAGGCACATGCAAAAAACTACAGTGTGAAAATAGGAGGGGAGAATAAATTCAGTTTGGAAGTGACAAGGAAGTTCTGGAAAGGTTGGATGAGGAAAAGGGGAAATCATTTGTTGAAGGTCAGAGTTCATTAAACAGTTTGTAATCATTATCTCATTGAATTCTCACAACCTTCCAAGTTAGGTATTTTACCCCTATTTTACAGATAAGGAAATTGGGGCTCAAAGAAGTTTTAATATTTGGCCAAGTTTACATAGCTGATAAGTAATGAAACCAGAAATCGCAAGCCCAATGGCCTATTTCCAAAGCTTATACTGATTTTCCTACACCAGATCTTCTCCACACATACAAAAAAAGTGACAACTGTGCTCAGCCTTCAAGCCTGATTGGTTAAGATTTTCCAGGCCCATCTAGTGGGAGGGCAGGGGCATTCCAGGAACAGCCAACAGCCTGAGGAAAGGTCTGGAGGTGGGAAAGTGTACACCACGTTGGGGAAAGGCAGGTCCCTTCACATAATTGAGTAGAGGATATATCAGAGGGACAAACGTGGAGGCACTTTGGTCAAGAAGGGTAGTAGATGGTTCTCTACTTTCCCTATGCTTGAAAAATATGATAGTGTATTTCGTCTACTTAAAAATGCATGAAATGTTGTAAGTGAAACATTTTGAATGTCTTGGAAGTGATTGTTTTATTTCAATAGTCTTAACCTTCAATTCTAAATATACTTTAATGCAAACCATAGAGTAGAAAAATGATTCTTTACATTTCCTTTTCCTTTAGACTTCTTTTTCATCTCTCTGTAATGATACTATCTAGAGATTTAAACCATAAGTTTAAAGACTAGAGAAAAGAAATACAAATAATTTAGCTACATAAATATCAAATGTCCTATCATGTCAACCATTTGAGTATTTTCTGGTGAGAATGTTAACACTGTATAACTGAACTGATTTTAAGAAGTTTAAAAATATTTTAAGTTTAAAAATACTCTTTTTTTTCAAGCTGGAGTGCACTGGGACAATCTCAGCTCACTACAACCTCCGCCTCCTGGTTTCAAGCGATTCTCCCACCTCAGCTTCCTGAGTAGCTGAGATTATAGGCATGTGCCACCAACGCCCAGCTAACTTTTGTATTTTTTAGTAGAGAGAGGGTTTCACCATGTTGGCCAGGCTGGTCTCGAACTCCTGACCTCAGGTGATCGGACTGCCACAGCCTCCCAAAATGCTGGGATTATAGGCGTGAGCCACCGTACCCAGCCAGGTTTAAAAATATTTTAAGTTGGGCCAGGCATGGTGGCTCACGCCTGTAATCCCAGCACTTTGGGAGGCCGAGGCGGGTGGATCACGAGGTCAAGAGATCGAGACCATCCTGGTCAACATGGTGAAACCCCGTCTCTACTCAACATACAAAAAAAAAAATTAGCTGGGCATGGTGGTGCATGCCTGTAATCCCAGCTACTCGGGAGGCTGAGGCAGGAGAATTGCCTGAACCCAGGAGGCGGAGGTTGCAGTGAGCCGAGATCGCACCATTGCACTCCAGCCTGGGTAACAAGAGCAAAACTCCGTCTCAAAAAAAAAAAAAAAAAATACAAAAATTAGGCCAGGCACAGTAGCTACTCCTGTAATCCCAGCACTTTGGGAGGCTGAGGCGGGTGGATCACAAGGTCAGGAGTTCAAGACCAGACTGGCCAACATGGTGAAACCCCGTCCCTACTAAAAAATACAAAAATTAGCTGGGCATGGTTGCTCGTGCCTGTAATACCAGCTACTTGGGATGGTGAGGTAGGAGAATTGTTTAAACCGGGACCCGGGAGGCGTCACTGCACTCCAGCCTGGGCTACAGAGCGAGACTCCATCTCAAAAAAAAAAAAAAAAAAAAAAATACAGAAATTAGCCGGGTATGGTGGTGCACACCTGTAGTCCCAGCTACTCGGGAGCCTGAAGCGGGAGAATCGCTTGAACCAGGGAGTTGGAGGTTGCAGCAAGCCGAGATCGCGCCACTGCACTCCAGCCTGACAACAGAATGAGATGCTGTCTCAAAAAAAAAAAATTTATGTTAAAAAACTGGGTGGGTAAATGGGATATGGTAGCCTAGTGTGATTCAATATAAATAGTATGTGTCAGGGACCAGTAAGTGTGACAGCACCTGACTAAGAGAAGGAAACAGGGTGGGGCAGGGCATGCATAGCTAAGAATTGCATAAATTATCAGTAAATATCTAGAAATACTACACGCTACTACAGAGTATATATATCCCACCTGCAGTCCCAATAACGGCTTACACTGAAGGCTCTTAGTTCCCACAGGCTCTTGCCACTGGGAAGGGGCGAGGCACTGGGCAAGGCAGGGGCTACAGAGGGATGGGATGCTTAGAACCAGGGGAGCCACTCCAGGTAGTAAACCTGAAAAAGCCAGGGCAGGGAATCACTGCCTCACAGAGCAGGCAGATGTCTCAGGTACCTTTGCTTCCTGCAGGCACATGGCATACTCTGAGGCCCCTGGTAATGCTTCTGTCTATGATGATGCTGACTAATGACCCAAATCCCAAGCACCCAAGTAACTCAATTGTCACTGCAGAGAAGTGGAGGTCTTCAATTAATTAAATGGGACAACAGAAACTGGGGCTCCTAGAATGAATTGTTATTGGCTCATTTATGATTTTCTGAACACGAAAAAGAGGGATTTTAAAAGGATGCTACCTCAGTGTCCACAGCACAGAACAACACCATGCTTTTTAGAACCAGGGAGTCATTTCACAACGATAAAGTACACTGAAATCACTCTTATCCTACTGACATTTTGGCTTTCCCTATACATTTTAAACATTAGTTTTTGTTTTTCCTGGAGTCAAACTTTGATGGAGTGTCAGTCCCTCCCCTCCATCTCCTTCCTTCACTCTCTCCTTCTTCCTTTTCCCTCTCCTCTCTTTACTTCACACTTGCCCACCTTCCTTCTTCTCCCTCCTCTCTCAATCTTTCTCGCTTCCCTTCTCTCTTTTCCTCCCCCTTAAATATTAATTAGCCCATCCTAGTTTATCTTGAGTCAAGCATTCCTGGCTAAAATTTTGCCCAAGGATCCATGCCAGGAACAGCAGCTTATGAAAGATTGATTGGGACATGACTTTTGATTTCTGACTCACAAAATGAATTTAAACCACTATAATTGCAGAACTACACATAAAAGAGTTGGATCTTATAATATCATAGGCGAAAACATGAAATGGTAAGAAAAGGGAAGAGGAGAAAGCTGCCCTGCCAATGCCTTGACCCCAGATCATCTCTGGCCAGCAGTCTTGGAAATGTGATGCTCCCCAAGACCACCCTCTTCCTAACTCCAAGGATTCTGGAATCATTTATCAGGAGACCCAGTCACTTGGCAGCATGCTCAATTTCGGTGTTTACCGTCTAAAACAGATGGGATGGGGAAGCCCACAGTTTGGCTTGCACTGTTAAAACAAAAACCTTAGACCCAGTTTTGTAGAGGGCCACCAACTGGCCGGGAGGCCTGTTTATGTTTTCCCTCTGGGGATAGGGAGAAAGAGTAAAAATATACATACATTGTATTTTTCCTAGAGCCTTCCATTGAGAATTTTATTTTCTTTTAGATAAACAGGTGTCTGGAAGTGAGCACACTTGCTCATTAGCACCACCAACTCAGATGAGAAAGAAACCAAAGCAGTATCATTGACCCCCATGGATTTTAACTAGTTGTGTCACATCCTGGCTGTATAAATGTGAGCCAGCCTCAGTTTTCTCATCTGTGAAATGGAGATACCACCTACATCACAAAGCTTCTGTAAGACTAAAGGAAGCACCCCTTGTGAAATGTCTGGGACATCTTAGGTACTCATCAAACCTTCAGGCTCTCCCAGCCTCCACAGAAACATTGCTACCCTTAACTAAGAAAATTCAAGTGTTATTATTCCCAACTTTACATTTGATATGCAAAGAGCAATCTAAAATAGTTAGATAAATAACAATAAACTTTATCTAAAAGCTTGTATGTTCTAAGTCCGTAAGAATTCTCTGGGGAAAGTTGTTCTTTGAATTAGTAGGTGCATTTTCTTCCTTCTTTCTTTCCCCCATCCTTTTCCCCTTCCCCTTCCTCTCTCCTTCCCTTTCTTAATGGACCAGACAGGACTCACCAATTTCACAAAGCAAATTGGAGTTGTAAATTAATAACTACATTAAGCTAATGTTTTATGAAATACTATTTCCTCAGCATCCGGCTAAGCATTTTATTTGTATTCATATCTCATTTAATCCTAGCAATCCTATAAGGTGGACTGCATAGTTATCTCTATTTTACAGATGGGAGAACTTAGACTAAGGGAATTCAAATAACCTGGGTGACACAGACAGTAAAGGGCAGAACTCAATCACAAGACAGAGCAAAAAGGGGGTCAGAGCTTAACACCAGACATGCCATCTTCTATTCTCAACAAAGGGTTTACCTAAAACTACTCATATTCAAATGACGGTATTTCTCAAATCTTCCCACGATCTAAATTCCCACAATTATATTAGAATTTCGAAAGCCACCTCCTCTCATGGCCTTATTTCCGAGAAGTATCTAAAACTCTACCACCTTATTCCAAAAGGAAAGGGGAAAATTAACCGCTTCCCTGAACTTCTCTGCCAATCTTCCTTTGTTATTTCTGTTTTCCTGCCTCCCACTGGTCTTAACAGCTATTTTATAATCATTCCATAATTGTGAGCAGTGGTCCCAAAGGCCCCGTTGTAAGAAACCACAGAATACGGCCGGTGAATACTAGCGAGATGGAGAAAGCACAGCAAACTCCCTACTCTGTTCACAAAAATACCTCAGAAATATATCATCGAACAAGCTAACTCCACTGACGACTTTCCTGAAGCTGCAGTGGTAGAAGGTGTCGCTGACGGAGGGCTGTCGCGGTCCCGGAGTGTAGCCCCCAGTCCACGCGCACCTGCCCGCCTGCGCGCTCCTCCGCGGGGCAGCGGTTCAAGCAGGGAAGCCGCGAGTGTTTTCAGCTCACAGGGGAGTGGTTCGCATGACCCGGGTTCCGTCCACGGCTGCTGACAATTGTTTTACACGAAAGAAAGAAGAGACGTAGAAAGTCCCCGCGGCAGTGCAAGCCTGGCCGACGCCGAGGCGGGCGCCCAGCGGTGGGCGGAGGCGGCTGATCCCATCCCAGGGTGCAGGGTCCGTGGCCGGCTCCCTTTAGCCAATGCAGCTGGCTCGGGACCCAGACAGACACCGCGTCCTGAGCGCCCGCGGCGACCCCGGGTCCCCTCCCCACGTCCCGCGCCCTCGGAGGACGCGCTGGGGGCCGCGCCGCACCTGTGCCCCCCGGGGCGGCCTTGTTCCAGCGCCCCTCGGAGGCGACGCCGGGCCGGAGGGGACAGGGGCGGGCGCTTCCCTCTGCGCAGAGCGGGCAGACCTGGCGTCCCAGCGGCGCTCCCAGAGCGTCAGGCGCCGCGCGCCCACCCGGGGCGGCCGTCTCGCAGCCCGCAACCTCACCTCCCGCCGCAGCCTCCTCTTCCGCCGCCATCGCAGGCTCCGCAGCCCCGCGGCTGGCAACATGGAGGAGCCCCGGGCCCGCCCTGCCCCGGCCCAGGCGGAGGCTCCAGAGCGGGGAAGCGGGGACTGGCGGGCCCTGCCCGGTGCCGCGGCGGCCGCCACCGCAGCCCCTGGGCGCGCAGCCGACGCCTCCCCGCAGCCCGGCCGGCCGCGGTTACTGAGCATGCGGACTGGGGCCAGCCGCCCGCCGTTCTGGGCGCCCCGGGGCTCCCCGGCGGGAACGGGACCCGGGCGAAGGGCGGAGTCGCCGCGGACACCGCCCCGCCGAGCCCTCCCACGAGCCGCAAGGCGCTAAAAGGCCAGTTGAGTCTTTCTAGCAACCCGCCCATTGAAAACAGGCTTCCATGCTCTTGGTAGGCTTTGCCCCGGCGTTCCGAAGACTGCAGTTGTAGACCTTCGGGGCAGAGGTAAAGGGTGAATGAAGATCCTTGCACGGCGGGCTAGCGGAGGGCACGGGGCCGGGGTTGGGGAGGGGTTGCTGGACGAGAGACCCTGCTCTTTTCTGCTTAAGGAAGGGCTTAGCTGCAGAGACGAGGGTGTAGAGGATGGAGAGAGGGTCCCCAAGGAAGCCGTTTTGCCGCCTGGAATGGTTGGGTAAATCCAGAAACAAAATCTTTTGGGGATCACTTCACAGCCCTACATCCTTATGGCTAATGTCTAGAATACACTGGTTCGCTGCCCTCCCACTGCTCCCTGTTAAGCGCTCTCTGAATGAAGAGACCCCCTAAACATGGCTGTCTACTCACCTGGCTGCAGGTGGGCTGAGTCGAAAAGAGAGTCAGTGCAGGGTGGTGGGATCAGAGTTGTTTTTATAGGTTTAGGGTAGGCAGTGGAAAGTTACAGAAGTTACAGTTTAGGGAGGTTTTTGCAAGCTGGGAGGGGGTCGTTGGGTCTGGAGTCACGAGGTTGACTAAGCTTGGCTACAAAGTCCAATTGCCTTATCAATTGAGGCAGGAATAAGGAACAATAGAAGAATGTCTCAAGTTAATTAGGCGCTGCAGGGGTGGATCATTCTTCCCCTTTTCATGGTCTTCCAGTTACTAAACATTTTCTGATTCCAGGAGGCCATCCAGAGCTGTATGTGTGGATCATGAGGGTCACCATGGCTCGATTTAGGGTATTGTCTATGGTGTGGCCAGTTCAAAGAAACTTGCAGTCCCTAGACCCAAGTAGGCTTGGTAACCTAGTAGAAGTAGTAAAGGAAAGGCACAATAGAGAAGACACAAAATCAAGCTTTGCAACCAGCCTACATATAATAATTTTCCTACAAGGACTCAATTCCAACGTCTTAACCAGCAGCTTATGTGTCCTCAGGGCAGTACTTAGGGCCATTGTTAGAGTCTGGGCAAGGGGTTTGGAAGTATGTTCCCAAGACGAGTAGGCATGACAGGAGAAAACTGTTGCAGACTTAAGCAGGGGACTAGGACTGTATGCAGCTAGAGGTAAGGGACAGCTGCTGAACACTGTGCTGTCCTCAGTAACACACACCAAGACACATCCCTAATCAAAACCATTCTTGAAACATCTCACCCCTAGCTTTGACTTGGAACTCCACCCCAAATTCTGCCAACACCAACTTCTCCTGGCAGCTCAGAAACAGTAATTCCACAGAGGGCTCCCCCGAGTTGTGTTCAAACCTTGGCTTTCCAGACAAGTGTATGCTATTTTGAGGTGGTTTACCAACGGGTAAGAGGTAGAATCAATTAGACCTGGGCCTTAAGATCTTGGTTAATATGTATATACTATTCTATACGTGGCCTTGCTTACAGTGCATTTTCCCTTATTGGCTTACAACCTCTTTCTTAATTCCTGTCTTAGTAGGGAAGCAGAAGTACAGAGATGATGAGAACTTTGGCGAGGATCACTCGGCTGGTAGATAATAGAAGCAAGACCATGAAAATTAGGTTTCCTTCTTAGGAGTTCCTATTGTGGTGTCCAGTAAGCTTGCCTGTGAATCATTGCAGTCGCCATTTCTTAGAAACAATGATTCATTTCCACCAAAGTCTAAAAGCCAGAGAAGGGGAATCCAGAATCTAAAAGACAAAAGCAGAAAGGGTAATGGCACAAGCAAAGCCAGCCCACAGGATTCCATGGGGTGCAACCCTCTCATTGTTTAATAGGTGTTCCCTTTACTGCTCAGGTTTAAAGCCTGCTTGCTCTTTTCTTTATGCTCTAGAGCTTTAGTTTCTAAGACACGATTTTTTTGTTTTGTAAAGAGGGGCTATGTATCCCATAGGATAAGGCAAAGAGACACAGTGTCTTGCCAGATGGATAGGAAGGTAATCTCATTTCCAGTGAGTGGTTTTCTCATATTTTCTCCTTGGAAAGAAAATGTGAGAAAGGTGATTGAGTGATTTGCATAATAGAATGCAGGATAATTTGTATAATAGAATGCACACAGTCCATTTTGGTCAGCATGGTTCCCCTGCCAAAAGCCCCGAAGCAGCCTTGCTCTCCAGGAATCATGGCTTACCTTTAACTTAATTTGTTCGTTGATCTTCTTTCATTGCTAAGTACTCAGGCAAGAACAAATATTTTAAAGGTGGAACAAATATTCCATTGTCCATCTGGAATTAGGAACCACTGCCTCACAGCTGTAAACTCTTGTCTTTTTAACCTCCTGCTGGGATTGTAACAATATAACTTAGTTTTGGTGGGGAGGGGACTAAAGCCACTTAGAGATTTTATTTGGTCCAAGACAAAAAACCAACAACAACAAAAAAACCCCAAACCCAAAACAACAAACAACCACACCTGATTCAGAGTGTAGCTAAATTGAAGATACTGTTTTCAATGATGAATAACAATAAATAACACAGAAGCCAGGAAGGGGAGAGAAGAGGGGGTGGAAAACAGTAAGGAGGAAAAAAAAAGGATATATATGTTTACTGCCATTGAACTGTACACTTAAAGTGGTAAAGATGGTAAATTTAAAAATAAATAAATAAATAGCAGCTACCCATTATTGATGTCCTACGTGACTGGGAAAATAAATTATTAATGTTTCAAACTACCTTTTCTTCCTACCCTCGCTCCAGCATCCTGTGGAGGGTGAATCCTGGGGAAGATGCTTGGATTTGTTGGGCAGATTGATGAGTAAGTGCAGTTTGGAGAAACAAGTAGGCCAACACTCTCTTATATGTGTTTGGAGGGGGGGCGGTCTGTGGTGGACTTCCGGTATAGGAAAGATCAGGTTGAGCGTGGCCTAAGGGAAGGAAAAGCAGAGAGGTAACTGGAGGACAGTCCACTGCTGAAAGAGGGAGAGGTGGTAAAGGAGGTGGTGGTAGCTGCCATAAGCTATAAAAATTTGGTATCTTTATTTTTAATTTTTTTTTTACACAGACTCTCACTCTATTGCCCAGGCTGGACTGCAGTGGCACAATCTTGGCTCACTGCAACCTCCGCCTCCCCGGGTTCAAGCAATTCTCATGCCTCAACCTCCTGAGAAGCTGGGATTACAGGCATGCGCCACCACACCCAGCTAATTTTTCATATTTTTAGTAGACATGGGGTTTTGCCATGTTGTTCAGGCGGGTATTGAACTCCTGGCCTCATGTGATCCACCCACCTTGGCCTCCCAAAGTGCTGGGATTACAGGCATGAGCCACTTCACCCTGCCAGGAAATTTGAGACCTTTTAAAGGGAGATTTAGCGAACTTCATTGTGTAATGCAAACCCTCTTACATTATTTCCCTGGAAGATAACAACTTCAGCCAAAGCTGAATTCCTTTTCTCAGTGCTTTTGGATCATATTTATGTTTTTATTAAAAGTGAAAACATTTTGAGATTGGCCTTAGGTGGAAAGCAGGGCCACCCACAAAAATAGTCATTTAATTCACTTGTTCACAAACATCTATTGAGTGTCTGCTGTGTGCCAGGCACTGTTGTAAGCACTGACTTGTATTTTACCTACTGTGCATCAGTTACTTTATATATATATATATTCTCACAAAAACCAATGAGCAGGTATTAGTTCCTTTTTCCATTAGCTCAGTGGTTCCCAAAATTCACTGTGCATGAGAATGTAAACAATGTTAGATCCACTTCCAGAAGTAATGATTTAGTAGGTTTGGGGTGAATCACAGCAAGTCCTTATTCCCTTTTTTTTTTTTTTTTGAGACGTAATCTCACTCTTGTCGCTCGGGCTGGAGTGCAGTGGTGCAATCTTGGCTCACTGCAACCTCTGCCTCCCAGCTTCAAGCAATTCTCCTGCCTCAGCCTCCTGAGTAGCTGGGATTACCCAGGCACGCACCACCACACACGCTGGCTAATTTTTATACTTTTAATAGAGACAGGGTTTCTCCATGTTGGCCAGGCTGGTCTCAAATTCCTGACCTGAGGTGATCTGCCTGCCTTGGCCTCCCAAAGTGCTGGGATGACAGGCGTGAGAGCCAGTAAGTCCTTATTTCAAATGTGCTCCCTAGTTGATTTTGAAAGTTGCTCTGAGTACTCTAGAAAATACTGCTTTAACTTGTCAAAAATGAATTTTCTTAAGTCTGGGTTTTTGCAGTATGCTATGTACAAGGGGGAAGCGGCGGGGAGGGAAGCAGTGTTTCTTAGAGGACAGGAATAGCAATACACTAAAATTCTGAGCAAACTGCAGGGAAGGACAAAACTTAGGACAAGAATGAGGAAATAGTTGTGCACACATCTTTTATGTGTAGTTGCTTACACTTCTTTTTCCCTTAGGGATTATGTGTCTGTGTGTGTATAAGTCTCAGTGACTCAACTGATGTTTACTTTTGCAGATTTTAAACACTCTTAAAGCAGATAGAATATCCCAAGTCTTCCTCGGTCCTCTCAGTATCATATAGAATGGTACAAAAGGGTTCTCCAAGTTCTGTTCCTGATTTTTTTTTACCCAAGAAGACAAAATGGTCAGGTGCAGTGGCTCATGCCTGTAATTCCAGCACTTTGGGAGGCCGAGGCCAGCAGATCACCAGAGGTCAGGAGTTTAAGACCAACCTGGCCAATATGGTGAAACTGTGTCTACTAAAAATACAAAAATTAGCCAGGCACAATGGCAAGCACCTGTAATCCCAGCTTCTCAGGAGGCTGAGGCAGAATAACTGCTTGAACCTGGGAGGCAGAGGTAGCTGTGAACCAAGACCGTGCCACTGTCCTCTGGCCTGAGCAACAGAGCAAGGCTCCATCTCAAAAAAAAAAAGGAAAAAAGATAGTAGGCTGAGTATTGACAGTTTACCTTTCCTACCATGAATTTCTCCCTTTGGAAGAGACTTTAAAAAGTCTTCCTGTGTTTAGGAGTTTGATCATGAATGTTTTAATAAAAAGGTAAGTAATTCAGATAACTTGATGTTAGCAATCTCACCTGAGAAATGTTTTTCATTAGTCAAAGATCTTCCCAATTTCAACAAAGCAATTGAGCTAATAGTAATTAGACCACCCCGCCCTTGACTGGATCTTGGGAGGAAATAAATTGATGAGGGTCCCTATTTCTGATAATGAGCTCTGGAGGAGTTGGACCAATAAATTATCTACTCTGATTAATAGGATCTGGGAGGAATGGCAAACGCACTAAAAAGACCAAGGCCTGTTTATATGATGTCATCCTGTTGTATGATTTCCAGACACCCAATTCTATTCTGGGAAAAACGTTAATGGACCAACCTTCAGTTCCTATGTAGGCAACAGCAGATCCAACACCATAATCTAGGTACCATGGCTTCAGGTAAGAATCACTGTAGTAAAGCTGTGTGGCATCTTCTTGATTACCTAGTTTGTCAGAAGCACCCTAATCTGATTCTGGTATCCATGTGGCCGTGTCCTTTAGGTGAGCCTCATCCCAGTAGGAGGGATGTGATGCTTGATTAGTTTTAAATCAACTGCCCATCAGGTACTGGTTTAGGACTATATGGATGGCGGTGGCTCACGCCTGTAATCCCAGCACTTTGGGAGGCTGAGGCGGGTGGATCACGAGCTCAAGAGATTGAGACCATCCTGGTCAACATGGTGAAACCCCATCTCTACTAAAAATACAAAAAATTAGCTGTGGCGCGTGCCTGTAATCCCAGCTACTCAGGAGGCTGAGGCAGGAGAATTGCCTGAACCCAGGGGGCGGAGGTTGCAGTGAGCTGAGATGGCACCATTGCACTCCAGCCTGGGTAACAAGAGCAAAACTCCGTCTCAATAAAAAAAAAAAGATGCGAGGGTTACTTTGCTTAGAATGCCTCTGGAAAATATTTTCCTTGCTCTTAAAAAGCAGAGATGCCAAGGCTAGGGATGGTGGCTCACATCTGTAATCCCAGCACTTTGTGAGGCCTAGGCGAGCGGATCACCTGAAGTCAGGAGTTTGAGACCAGCCTGGCCAACATGGCAAAACCCTGTCTCTACTAAAAAAAAAAAAAAAAAAAAAAAAAAAAAAGATGGCTGTGGTGGCACACACCTGTAATCCCAGCTACTTGGGAGGCTGAGGCAGGAGAATCACTTGAACCCAGGAGGTGGAGGAGGTTGCAGTGAGCTAAGATCATGCCACTGCACTCCAGCCTGGGCAGCAGAATGAGGCTGTCTCAAAAAAAAAAAAAAAAAAAAAAAAAACAGGGAGATGCAGAAGTGTTTGTTTTTTTAAGGCTTTACATGTTGTGTGAGGATTTGATGCTTAGAGTGTCTGTAGCCATCTAGCTTCTCTGGGAAAACAAGACTAAGGACAAAGCCAACACAATTGTCATGACAAAAGTAGAAAAATGGAAAGTGGGGTCTTGGTATGGTTGCCCAGGTTGGCCTCAAGGGATCCTCCTGCCCCAGCCTCCTGAGTAGCTCGGACTACAGGTGCATACCACTGCTCTTGTGCTCTTGGATTCCTTGACATTTCTGAGATGCTAAAATGACTACTCTGGAAGCTCTCTATCTTGTGTCTTACTGTTACATAATATACGAACTTTCCTTATCATTGAAACCATTTTTACTTGTGTTCACTTGTAGTTAAAAGTATGCAAAGTAATAACTCTGTCCCTAACCATGTATACTCCTGAGATCGTAGAAGCATGTGAGCTATTTTTTCAATGAAGTTCACTTTGAAGGAGTAGGCAACACTGAACTTGGGTTCAAGGGCAATTTATTACTTGTGTTTTAGGCAAGTAATGATCACTAGGCCTCATGATCATCATCTATAAGATGATGGTAATTATGTAATTACAGAGTAGTTGTAAAAAACAAATTAGTGAAGGCATTTTATGTACAAATATATGTTCTTTGTATCACGAGATGTTTTTGAAAGATGAATTTAGAGTCTCCAAGTTTGCTGTAATGCCTAAATTTTAACATTCACTGTTTTCACTGTTGTGTCTTACAATGACATTATTGAAACAATGTATGTCAAGGAACAGTTGGAGAGAAATAAGGCTGAATGGGATTTTCACTGGCTCCCTTGAGGCTCAGTAGAAAAAGTCATGATTGTCAGTGTCTTCCACAGAACAGGAGGTAGTGGTACCTGGGCCACTTATATTCCTATGTTATTTTGACACATTTTCATCAATTTAGTGCTTGCTAATTAGTTTTGACCAAGTTGGGTAGTTGTATATAAGCTGTACATCCAATAAGTACGTAAAAAGTGTAGCCAATATGTTTTTAGCTACAGATTTGGAGATTTTTAAATATAAACTTCAAATATTTTGTTCTTGATGTGATTTTCAAGTGTAAAACTTGGTCAGTAATTTATATTAAGTAGTCTTTCCTGAGTTTTGGGTAACGCCTATCTCAAAACTCAAAAATAGAACCAAAAAACCTCACCAGCAGAAATTTTGTAAACATAGTTTTTATTCGTCTTACCTTCAATGAAAAAGTCCCGCCACCAAAACATTTTTGAAACTCAGTAACTGAACACCAAACTCATTAGCCTGATGATTACTTTTCTAGACAAGTGCTGAATTATATTGCTTTTAAAAAAATAGGTAAGATATACTTTTATTATTTATTCTTTTAAGCAGCAATATTCCCTCACATTTTTTTCATAAAAATCTAAAATATCTCTAGTAGTCCCAAGTGTCTTATATTTGTTCTAAGCATTTGTTTCACTAAGATTTTTCAGAAATAAGTGCACTTCTAAAGAGAAAATGAATTTAAATAAAATAATCATGGCTGTAGCAAAACAGTTATTTTGAATGTTTTGAATTTTAACAATTCAGCCAGGGACTTCTACTGACTAAAATCTCAGTTCATTTATGTGTAGATCATTAAAAGACAGCTGCTGCTCCTGTCAGTAAAGAACTGACTGATTAATTGTCTAAGGTTTTCTACAGTAAAACACCAAAAATAAGTGTACTTAAAAATATTTAACATTTAGAGATTTACACAAAGCTCTGCAGCTGTTTAAAAAACAGAAAAAATATAGAAATAAATGAAACCCCCATCTTAGGCCTTACCAACCAAAGAACATTTTTAATACCCCACACTTATTTTCCATTCACTAACTAGCTTATTAAATCAGCTATATACTCTATTCAGAAGTGGCTAGTTTATAAGCAATTCCTTATTTTCAGACAGCGCAATGCTTCAATACATTTAAAGATTTAAAGCTATGTTAGTAATAAATGCATAAAAGAAAAATAACATAACTTGCTTTAATACAAAGGTTTTTAATAAAAAAGTCAAAGTCTACATTAAATCAGGAAATTGATAAATCTGAATTATACAAGCTTTCTATATACTTAGAAAAACCAAAAACACAGTTTATAATAAAACTTTTTAAATTCAAAATAGAGTCTAATTTAAAGAAAATGTCATTATGCCCAGTTGATTAGATAGGGTTTTATCACTTAAATTAAATTATTCACCTGAAATATGGGAAATGTATAATAAAGAAAATTCAATCTCAAGGGTACTTTGCAAATTATCTGGTTAATTTGCATCACGAATCAAATTCTTAGCTTCCAAAGGGCAGACACAGTCTTTAATTGCTTTTAGATAGGCACTTAAGAAATGCTTTTGATGAGGAGAAAACCTTAAAGATTGTGAATCACTCTGTTAACTCCAGGGAAGAATGAGACTCTCAACAAAGTAGCTTTCCAGACAGAACTATCCTTCCAGTGCCAATTTGCAAGCTTTTTCTGGTAATAAGAATGAGGGAACTCAAAACAAAAAAATGCTCTATTCTTATGCAATTAAAAAGTAAACTTAGGTAAATTAGTTTCTTTTTATCAATCTCTGTCAGTTTGAATTAATGGCATTTTTCAATACCATTTCAAGAATGGTTAACCACACTAGAACTAGAGAATGTTGCAATTACCTCGTATCTTACCTATTCATTATCACACTAGCAAAACAGTCCTTTTAAAAAAAATGAATAAATAAAGGGGGGGAGCAATGTGGGGTAAGGAAATCTCATAAACTTTAGCAAAAGTTAATATTATTTTAATTAAGGGCAGTTATAATTAGAAAAATTAGAGTTGGTCAACTTGAGGTATCCCCAGGGGTTTTAATAGCTCTCTCCTAAATACTCAAAAAATTCCGACTAGAAAAATGGAAATGAACTGTTAGATAAACACCTAAGTACTCAACAAATATTTTTAAAAGAAACAAAAAAATAGGGAAGTGGGAGGAAACAGGATGGCCTTATGAAAACACTGTGGAGCTACCTATCAGCAACATTTATAAAAGTTTTTGTAGATTTGCATAATGCTCCTAAGCAACTCTTCCCCATTAGGAAGACATTCCTACAAACAAATCATCACTTTAGATTTTGATCATAAATCATTTATAATGGTTATCATTGTTGTATAGTTTTAAAATTCCATCCATTAACAGTTAAGACAAACATTGGGCCATTCTTTGCTAGCATATTATTCCTTAACTAGTACTAATGAAACCAAAACCTCAGAGTTGTTTGAATTAGAATTAAAAACCTAGAAAAGATTATTTAATTCTTAGGGCGATACCCAAAGAATTTGATGCTGACATTATCTCCCCTGTCCTCTCATCACAACCCCCTGGCCTGCATTTACTTCCTTAATTCCATCTATATTCACCACAGTGATATAGCTAAACATGAACAATATTGCCCTTAAATAAACTGACCTCTATCAAAGATCTGTCAGGTCTGCATACAGCATTCCCACAGGAAAAGAAAATTCTACTAGTTGTGAGCATCCACTGTTGAAGATCTTTGGTACATTTGGAGCATACGAAAATAATGGCACAATAATACAAGTACTATCAAAGGAAACATTTTCATCAAAAGAAATAAAAGTTAACTAGCTATGATATTTAACAATTTTCTAGAAAACCAAAGTAAATAGCTTTTTGTTCTCTACAAGTCCATTTACATAATAGAAGTTTGACATTTAAAAAAATAGTTTAATAAAAATACACTAATTCTACAAGCAGCCTTCATGGTCATTTCTTAAATTCAACTCACCATAATCAAATTAAAATAATGCCATGTCCTCTTGTTAAAAAAGAAGTCCTCTTGTCACAAGAAAATCAACTTTACATGTTATATAATACAGTACGTCTCCCTATGAGTATACAGACTACATATATAAAGGTCATCAGTATTTCTGAATGCAACATAAATATATTAGTGGAGTGCTTGAGTGAAGGTGTTAAACTTCCTCTTTCTTATTATAAACTTGTCGCTCCCTACTGTGGAGTTTGTGTAATAACTTGATGATAAATTCTATTTTTTAGAGAACCAGTGAATTTCTTTTTAAATTTCTTGAAACCATTACAAAAAATGTCTTCATATATATTCTACAGATGTCCAAACCAATAGGGCAATGTTCTAACACCAACTATGGAAGATGGCTTTTACTGATTATCTAGACCCATAGAATTGCAGTAAAACATCAATACTGCAGTTACCTACAGGTTAGCCTATGTTGCTTTAAATGATATGTTTCTCCTGAATTGATTAGAGGTGTTACAGTTCAAAGCCACAGCACACACAGGCAGAATGGACCTTAATACGCATGTAGGCAGTGCAGTTAGAAAGGGATGTCCATTCCTTTTATTCCAGTACCTTCGTATAATAAAGTTAACAAAAATAATAAAATATTTTAAAAAAAAAAAGAGCCAGCTGGCACTGCCAACCAATTCCTATAGTAGTCTTAGAAATCCTAATCCTGTAGAATTTCCTCTTGTAGTCAATAAGCACCACCGTCTTCAGGAGTATTTCAGTGTATTGTTATCTACGCCGAGCAAGCCTGGTGATGCAGCTACCTGAGTTCTCTTGGTTATGGGCAAATGTTATCTTCATTCATAATTTCCCAGCTTTCATGTAGGTGGGGATGGAGCCACGTTGAGTCAACCCTTCAAACCTTTTATAGGTATAATTGAGAAAAACCCAGTCTTTGGATTTGTAGTCCGGTTCTGTGGTATTTGGCACTAGAAAGAGAAAAATTAAAGGAATTTCATTAGTGAAATGCCGTAATCTTCGAAGATTTAATAGTGTTAGTTACATTATAGATTGTCTTACCTGGTTGTAAAATATCAGATTCAGGGAAGTCATCAAAATTTGAAGTATCATCAATGCTTTTGATCTCTATAGGGATTGCTGCTGGCCTTTCCCTATAAAAAGGTATTGAGTAGGCATGGTAGGTAACTTTTCTGAAACTCTCAATCTCCAACAAATAATTCTACTTGTAAATTCTGTATACTATTCTATAGATATTAGAAAAGTCAAAGAAATTTATTGTGGATCTGAGAATAGTTTTAGGGAATTCAAAATAGTTGAGTATAATTTTTTATTAAAATGTTTTCACTTGGAATTTTTAAAAATCTTGTGTTTTTAATTTTTATGATTATGTTGTAGGTATATGTATTTATAGGGATCATGAGACAGTTTGATAATGACATGAAATGGGTAATGAGTACATCGTGGAGAATGGGGTATGCATCCCCTCATGCATTTATCCTTTGAGTTACAATCGAATTACATTCTAAGTTATTTAAAAATGTACAATTTTCTCTTCCATACTTTAAGACCTTGCTAAGAGAAAAATGAAAAAAAAAAAAGTACAATTAAGATATTATTGACTATAGTCACCCTCTTGTGCTATCAAATAGTAGGTCTTATTCATTCATTTTTTTACCCATTAAGCATCCCCACCTACTTGCCATTTTATATCTCTGTACCAAGACTTTCTCATACTATTTTTAAAAAGTGAGCTAATGAAAAGTAAAAGAGGTTTTATTTAAAAGATTGTATAATTGTATAAAGTATGTGAGATATTATAAGAACTGATCCTTCTTAATTGATTTAGGAATAGAATTCTAGTAGCAATCCATAAATTAAAAATCATTTGGGGAAATGAGGGGCACATAGGTGAAGGGACTATTTGTGATGAAATCTGAATATAAAAACTTCTGTCATATAAATTTTAAGAGAATTAAAGATAGTGAAAAAGAAACCAGTCTTGCAATCCTAGCACTTTAGGAGGGTGAGGCGGGCAGATCATGAAGTCAGGAGTTTGAGACCAGCCTGACTAACATGGTGAAACCCTGTTTCTACTAAAAATACAAAAAAATTAGCCAGGCATGGTGGCACATGCCTGTAATCCGTTACTTGGGAAGCTGAGGCAGGAGAATCGCTTGAACCAAAGGAGGCAGAGGTTGCAGTGAGCCAAGATCGTGCCACTGCACTCTAGCCTGGGCAACTGAGCGAGACTCCATCTAAAAAAAAAAAACCCAGTCATGAAAATGCCTTCTTATCATGCTAAAAAGTTTATAGAGATAGTTAAAAGAAGCCATCAGTTTTTATTACTTCTGTTTTTTCAACAAATATTTATTGGATTTATTAGGTAGTAAGTTTACCAAATTATATAAACCCATATATATTTTTTACCAGAATTATTCCAACTCATTTATACTTAATGTACTAATTTAATAAACCTAGTTTAGTGGAAAGAACCCTGGAGCACTGAGATCTAACCTTTCTGTTATTAACTAGCAGTATGACCTTGGCAGGCAAGTCCCTGTGCCATGACTATTCCCTCATTGTAAGACTAGGAGAACTGGCAGTCTCTAAGCATCCTTCCCACTGTAAAAGGGGGGATATCATAGTTCTTTCTATTCAGTTAAGTTGTGTGTGTATAGTATTATACAGCATAATGATTAAGAGTTAGGCCTTCCACTAACTCTTAATCATTATGCTGCCTGGATCCAATCTAACTGCCTGGGTTCAACTCTAGCTTTTTCATTTACTAGCCGCCCATTGTAGGCACATTACTTAACTTTTCTATGCCTTAGTTTCCTCAAACTATGCCTTACTTTCCTGCAAAACAGGGATAATAACAATTCCTACTTTATAAAGCTTATATGAGGATAAGATGAGAAACACAAGTAAAGTAATTAAAACAGTACTGGATACACAATAAATGATTTTTTAAAACTAGCTATTATAATAGGCAGAGTGGGCTGGGCACCTGTAATCCCAGCACTTTGGGAGGCTGAGGCAGTTGGATCACTTGAGCTCAGGAGTTCAAGACCACCTGGGGCCAGGCGCGGTGGCTCACGCCTGTAATCCCAGCACTTTGGGAGGCCAAGGCGGGCGCATCACAAGGTCAAGAGATCGAGATCATCCTAGTCAACAGAGTGAAACCCTGTCTCTACTAAAAATACCAAAATTAGCTGGGCGTGCTGGCGTGCACCTGTAATTCCAGCTACTCGGGAGGCTGAGGCAGGAGAATTGTTTGAACCTGGGAGGCAGAGGTTGCAGTGAGCCGAGATTGGGCCACTGCACTCCAGCCTGGTGCCTGGCGACAGAGCAAGACTCTGTCTCCAAAAAAAAAAAAAAGACCAGCCTGGGCAACATGGTGAAACCCTATCTCCCCAAAAACAAACAAACAAACAAACAAAAAAAAAAACCACAACAAAATTAGCTGGGCATGGTAGCAGCGCCTATAATTTCAGCTACTTATGGGGCTAGGGTGGGAGGATCACTTGAGGCTGGGAGGCTGAGGCTTCAGTGAGCCATGATCAGACCACAGCACTCCAGCCTGAGTGACAGTGTGAGACCCTGTCTCAAAAAAATAATAATAATAGGCAGAGTCCCTAGCACACAGCAGGTTCTCCAGTGAAGATCTGTACCAAGGAAATGACACATAAGCTGTCTTGGAAGATGCAAAGGAGCTAGCTAGGCAGGGTAGAGGTAGAGATAGTGGGGAGAGGGCATTTCAGTCAGAATGAATAGTGAATGGCCAAACTTGGAGGTGGGAAGAGGAGTAGGAAAGGCCACTGAGATGCAACTTCTGCAGATGAGGCAAGCACTATACGCTGAAGTCCTAAGAAAGCAGTGAAGGCTTCTTCACTGTATTCCAAGTATAAAGGGAAGCAGGAAAGTGGCGTGGCCTGATTTATGCTTCTAAACCATTGCCGTGCGGAGAACAGATTAGAACTACTGAAGGTAGTTTGGCCATAAACTGAAAAAAGGCCAATGCTCGCAATTAACAACTGTAAGCAAATTCTTAAAAGTTACTTGTATTATTTAATGCCCCCCAACTAATGTTTAAAGGGACTGTACCTTACTGTAAATTAAGGAGACACTATATGGTGTATTACAGCAAGGACAAAAATGAGAAGTCACAGTGTGAAATGTAAATATATCTTTCATATGCTAACAGCCTTCACTGTATGAGTATGAATATAAGAATTTAAACAGCTGCCCAATGTTCTTCCCTGAAAGTGAAGAGAAGGCTATAGCCTAAAATGAGTCATTTAGCTATAGCCACAACAGTTCCACTCACTTACATAATCCAGAAAATACTGGACTTAATGACATTATATGTTACTTTTGTATTTAACTAGCAGAAAGAGAGGTAAGTTAATTGCTAACTCTAGAAATTCGTTTTTACTCAGACCTCTCCCATTCAAAGCCGAGGAACATACCTTATGTGCTCCCAGTCCACACCTTCAAAAAATGGATGACCTTTTATTTCTTCTACTCCACTATTTCCAATTCTGTTTTCAGAATCAATACAAAATCTACAACATAGAAACAGAGAAATTATCATACACAAGTTAAATCTAGCTGGATTACTTCAAATATTTTTTTAAAGCAGTATAATATTTTTCTTTTTATTGATGTTAACTATGTTTATTGTAGCAAATGTGAAAGAAAATGAAGATCATCTGTAATAGCATTATTTAGAGATAATGACTATAAATCTTCTAATCTTTTATAGTATTAAAAATACTGTGTTGATACTATAGTTACGTTAGGTCTGCTTTTTTTACTTGATATACTGAGAAAATTTGCCAAAGTCACTAAATATTTTTCTATAAATTTGTTTCCTAAAACTTGCATATGGAAATACTACAGCCAGTCTACTATTGAGCCTGTCCAATATTGTTGAACATTTAAATAGTTCTTAATATTAAATACCATGATAAACATATTGTACCTAAATCTTTACACATATCTGACTATCTGCATAAATAAAATTCCTAGAAGTAGAACTTCTAAATCAAAGGTCATATATAGTTTAGGGATTTTTAAAAATAGTATGCTGCCAACTGGCTATTCCCACAAGTTGCCCCAATTTATAATCCTTCCAGCCATTCACACCAGTACCAAAACACTTCATTATTAGTTGAGGAACACATGGAAATTTTTGCTTACAAGATTTCACATATATACTTTTCATGACAGGAATCTGCTACTAACATTTTCCCTTTTCTCTTTAATGGAATCAGGTCATTGCATTCTAACAGAAGTGACCTTTTGCTTTTACATACATCAGTAACTGAAGCAATACAAGACCTCCTCCCTCTTTTTAATTCCTGCATTTCTCATACTTCCTTTTAAGAGTTTACATTTTTAAAAAACCTTTATTGATCTCTTTGTATACATCAGTGGTATCTGCTCTTCCCCTACGAAAGTGAAATGAGTTGTTTAGGTACTTAAGAAGTTTTGAAGATACTATTAACTCCTGTAGGTATTGAACCACTAACCTGAGAATTAAGTCCTTGGCTTTCTCAGATATAGGTACCTCTGGAGGAAATACCAGAGTTTCTTTCCAGTTCATCACTTTTCTATACGTTTCTTGAGGTGTTTCAGAGCAGAAAGGTGGATATCCTATGTATCAAAGAAATCAAAAATGTTTCATCGGCTTTGTGATCAGTGAAGTTATACCTGCCAAACGTGCTATAAGAAACCAAACCGAGTGCTCTATTTCACAGTCAAAAATGCCACCATTCATCAATTTACAATAAAATTGCTAATAAAGTCAATAAAATTAAAGATTTAAAGCACTGCCTCCTCTTTTACATGAAAAGCTATACAGGTAACAATTTATATACATGGGAGTTTGGGTTAAATACTTGCCTACCTGAAACAGGATCCCTGGAGAGCTCACTGGTATTGATCAGTATGCATTTAACATTGAGGGGACATTAGAATTAAGTTTTAAAACTTCAAATATTTTAGTCAATTATATCTGTAATATGTTCAAACAATGGCACTCAAGGAAATGTATATATTTTGTACATAAATGAATGATAAAACATACCTATTAGCATTTCATACATAATCACTCCCAAAGACCACCAGTCACACAATTTGTTGTAACCAGTCTGCATGAATACTTCTGGAGCAATGTAATCTGGTGTCCCAACTGTGGAATATGCCTACAAAGGAGCAGCTTGTCAAACCAGCATTCTTAACATTTAAAAAGTATATATCTGAGGATGGCTTACTACAGGAAAAAGCAATATAGAGAGGTGTTAAATTTTCATTTATATTTATTTCACATGTTTATCATGTGCAAGGCTTAGTGGTAGGTAGTGAGTCAGATAATATGTTATAGACTATTATTTTTCAGTCTACTTACTTTCCTGAGGGAATGCTGAATTAGTTTTCTTTTCATCACTTCGTTGAACAAATATTTATAGGGTGTCCATATGTGCCAGGCATTTTATAAGAATATATCATTTCTGCCGTCCCCTAAGAAGCTCAATTAAGTTATTTATATATATAGCCTTCAGTCTATTTCAAATAGAATGAAAAAGTTGAACCTAGAAGACCTGGCTTCCCCACTCACTACTAATGTGTTCTTTGGCAAATTATTCAGTTTCTCTGAGGCTCAGCTTCTGCCTACATAAAATTGGAATAATAATACCTGCCCTAATAGAGTTGAAATGAAAATGAAACAATAAAAGGCATGTGCTTTGTAAACTACAAACTACAAAAATAAGCATGAGGTATTTTCATTAGAAATGTAATTCCAGGGTACTGCTTATCTATTAGGAAGCTATGCAGTTTTGACTTCTTAATTTATATAAAATCTTACAAAAATGATTTCTACAAGGCAGTAATTCTCAACTAAGGGTAGTACTCTTGGGGCTATGGTAAATGTATGACTGCAGAGTTTGTCATCTCAGTGACATGACTGGTATTTAGAGGGCATGGGATCCAGGTGCTAAAAATATTTCCTGTCCCAAACACTGAGTTCTCTCTACTTCTCCCTTGGGAAACACTTGATCTAAGGCTTGGTGACTGTTGGCCATGAGAATAATAAAACACACACCTGAGTAATATTGTGTAAATGGGGGGTACAGAAATCCCCTACCATATTTTTAAGCAACATTCAGTTTTTCCCTTTAAAAATAGGAAATAAATATAGGAAATACTGCAATTATTCTCAATTGCAAAATTTGATCTAAAATTGGCATATTTTAAAAGTAGAACAAAGTTTTTCTCCTTAATGCATAACTCAATACATTTAAAAATACAGAAATGTGGCCAGGCGCGGTGGCTCAAGCCTGTAATCCCAGCACTTTGGGAGGCTGAGGCAGGTGGATCACGAGGTCAACAGATCAAGACCATCCTGGTCAACATGGTGAAACCCCATCTCTACTAAAAATATAAAAAATTAGCTGGGCATGGTGGTGCGTGCCTGTAATCCCAGCTACTCAGGAGGCTGAGGCAGGAGAATTGCCTGAACCCAGGAGGCGGAGGTTGCGGTGAGATCGTGCCATTGCACTCCAGCCTGGGTAACAAGAGCGAAACTCTGTCTCAAAAAAAAAAAAAAACCAGAAATCTTTTTACAAGCATAGGAAGTTTGCAATTACTTAGATTAATGAGATAATAAACTCAATAACACAAAGGTCATTTTATTTGGTTTTACAGGGTATTAGACTATTATTTTTCAGTCTATGTACTTTCCTGAGGGAATGCTGAATTAGTTTTCCTTTTATCACTTGGTTGAACAAATATTTATAGAGTGTCCATATGTGCCAGGCATTTTATAAGATATTAGGAAAACTAAATCCAAAGGCACTTTCTTAACCTGCAGAATGTTCATGGACCATATTAACAGAACAAAGGGAAAGAGGAAGAATGGGAAGCAATTCTATTTGCTCAGTTATAGAGGGGAAATAGTATGGGGTTAAAAATAATGTAATTCTATATTAAAGGAGTAAATTAAGTTTATCTGGGGCAACGCCAGCTTTTTCTAATTTTATCTGTTTACATCCCAAACTTCTTACTTTGTTTATAAAGAAGTTCTTAGAAATAACCACCTTACTTGCTGATTGTTATTTGTTGTATTAGGATTTGTAACACAGATATGAAAAATGGAAATCACAGGCATTCAATGCAACCAGAGTCACCTCAGTGAGTTTTATTTAAAGTGCTAATTTCTAGTAAACAGCTTACTCATAGGTATGCTCAGTAAAGTACTGTAAAGTTATAAAGTAAAAACCAACATTTTGCTTTACAGGCAAGGCAACTTAACAGAAAAACAACTAAGAAAACTGTGTGATTCCAGAAAAAGAGCTATCATTGTTAGGCAGTAAATAGTAATCATTATAAAGATACAAATAATCAAGTTAAAACCAGATAAGATTTTAGAACCAAGGCACAAAATTCTTTCTTAAAAACATGGTTGACTCACCAGTTGTCTTCTGTTCTTCTTCCAAGTTTCTGCTTTCCTCTTTGAGTTCATGTTTTGAAATGCTAATTTCAACAAAAACAAAATCACACATTTACATCTAAAATGCAGTGGATTAAGGAGTGAGGAAAGGGAAAGAACCTTCAGTTCTCTACAGTACTGAATTAAACCAGCTACAATATCTTAACCAGGAAAAAAAAAAACTTACAGAAGTCACTTGGTGGGTTGTGTGTGAGATTTCTATAAAATTCAGTCCGGTGAGCTTTCTTTAATCCAGTGCATAAACCAAAATCAGATAATTTTACATGACCCTAAAAAAACCCAGTAAAATCAGATTATATTAACTTTGAAAACAAAAAGCCTTATTATAAACTCCTCTGTTAAATGCCAATTATAAATACTGTTAGCTTGGGATTTATACAAGTAAAATGTAAAATTATAAATATCTGATGATGATGATTTTTAAATGTAGAAAATGGAGGGAGATAGAGAGCCATATTCCCTGTTATCATTTCATTCCCAAGTCCTCTCCTAGTGCCTTATTATATAAAATAATGTTTAGCAATCATCTAAATTGCAGTTGTGGATTTCCAATCACAAAATCAGCTCTAATGCTCTAAAAATTAATCAACAGCCTAGTAATTCAGCAGTTTATTCACATGCCTTGGCATCCAATAAAAGGTTGTCTGGCTTAATATCCCGATGGATGAAACCCAACTGGTGGATCGCATCTATTGCCAGAACAGTCTCTGAAATGTAGAACTGTGTTTCCTCTTCTGTCAAGGTGTCTTTCTTCATTAGCAATGTCATCATGTCACCTAAATAAAGGCAAGTTAAATATATTATTATTAAAAATGTCTCAAAGGTGGAATAAAAAGCTTTCCTGAATTTTTTTGGGGGGTGGGGGGCGGACAGAGCCTCACTCTGTTGCCCAGGCTGGAGTGCAGTGATGTGATCATGGCTCATGTCAACCTCCGCCTCTTGTGTTCAAACAATTATCGTGCCTCACCCACCCAAGTAGCTGTTATTACAAGTGTGTGCCACCACACCCAGCTAATTTTTGCATTTTTAGTAGAGACACAGTTTTGCCATGTTGGCCAGGCTGGTCTCGCACTCCTGGTTGCAAGTCATCTGCCTGCCTCAGCCTTCCAAAATGCTAGGATTACAGGCATTTTGGAAGGCTAAGGTAGCCTAGCTAGCTTTCCTGTTTTCATTTATGATCTACCCAGTATATTTCTAACCATATTTTGGGCCAAATAAAAGTGCCACTGCATAAACACAAGTATCATGACATACAATGTTTTTAAGGCAGAGACTATATGAAATCAAATCACAACAGAGCTGATAATGAAGTAATATCTACCACTCAATTATAGAATTAACTGCTGAGGAAAATGTCAAACTGCAAAAAAAAGAAAAAAATCAGAATAAGTATTCCTGGAAACCAAATATATTCTTCTTTTAGAGTTTAGTGGGACATTATCACACTAAAAAAGGCACCTACTTTTTTTTTAATTTATTTTTTTATTTTATTCTTTTATTTTCAAGGAATTTAAAAAGTTTTAACTGTTGTAAACACTGCGCACTTACATGTGGGAACACTCCCATGTGAGACCCCCAAGTAGTGGGTCACACCATATGGTTGAGCTTGATCCCGGACACAGGCCCCCTGTTGGGGGTAGTCGAGCTATGGGGAAGAAGAACTGCAAGAAAGCTTATGTGATCTACAAAAAATAGCATGAGTTATTACTCTATTGTGCTGAGGTGATGGGAGGCACGGTGTCCACTTTTGGTTCTCTATTCATTATAGTTTCTTCTTAAAGTTATGACTTAAATCTTCAAAGCAAACTGTAGTAAAAATTGCTTTGTTTATGTCTTTCCTGCACCTGGACCCTTGATGTGGTATTTACAATACTGCTTGTGACTTAATGATTTATAACGTAGCCTGCTATTTTTTTGTGAAACTCCTGCCCTAGATAAATAGTTTCTTTTAAACTTCTAAACTTAGATATTGCACCTGGATTCTTGTGACTGATAATTGCACTCCCCCCCCGCCGCTTTAACCCGATTATGTATCTCCCTGTTCCCAGCATATTTATCCAAAATATGGTGATTTGTGATTGTATTGTAAAACTTTCTGTTCCCCTTTATCTCATGAAACACTGATCCCATGACGTAAACACTTCTACTTGTAATGTATATAACCAGACCCTGAGTTCAATAAAGTTGTAGGTGAAGCATCTGACTTCTCAACCCTCCAGACCCTGTCTGTTCTTTCTTCTTCTCTTCTGAGCACCCGCCTTTCCAGGTTGGGACCCTCTTGCTGGCCAAGAGCCCCCCGGCAGACGTGCTGACACCCACAACAACACAGAATTGACAACTGATTACACCGGCAGACGTGCTGACACCCACAACAACACAGAATTGACAACTGATTACATCTTTTAATATGTTTTTTGAGGCTTTAAAAAGAAAAATAGGGGGCCAGGCATGGCGGCTCCCACCTGTAATCCCCACAATATTGGGGGGCTGAGGTGGGCGGATAACTTGAGGTCAGGAGTTTGAGACCAGCCTGCAAACATGGTGAAGCCCCATCTCTACTAAAAATACAAAACAGTTAGCTGGGCATGGTGGCTGGCACCTGTAATCCCAGCTACTCAGGAGGCTGAGGCAGGAGAATCGCTTGAACCCAGGAGGCAGAGGTTGCAGTAAGCCAAGATCACACCACTACACTCCAGCCTTGCCAAGAGAGCAAGATTTCGTCTCAAAAAATAAAAATTAAAATTAAAAAAACAGGTAGAAGTATTATTTGCCCTCCATTGCCATTCTTTTCCCCTTGCCCTCTTTGCTAAGCAATGATTATGATGGATTTGGTGTGTATCCTTCCAGCTTATTTTAAAAATGTTTTCATATACACATATATTTAAAAATAGATTTATAGTCTTTTGCAGTTTTGAAAAATTTACATAAATGTTATCAATCTGTAATCAATCTGTACATGTAATTCCACAGCCTGGTTTAGTCACTATACTCTGTTTCCGAGATCTTACTGTTGAACCAGATATAGCTTACGACTTAACTTCTGTAAAATATTTCATCACATAAGTGATAATGCCAGATTTGACCATCCATTCTTCTACTGATGGGCATTTATCTTGCATCAATTTTTTACCACTGTGACATATGATGGAGAGAATCTCTAGAGAACACAACTGGTTGTGGAAGTGCTGAACCTTAGGACACATGCATTTTCAGCTTTACTGGATATCTCTAAACTGCTCTTCATAAAAGTTAGAGATAATTTACAAGAGGACAGTTTCCCCCATAGCCTCACCAATACTCAGTACTGTAGATGTTCAGTGATTTTACTGATCTGAGGAGTATGACATGGCATCTCATTTTTGTATTAATTCACATTTCTCTGAATACTGGTGAAGTTGATCACTTTCCTATATATTTACGGACTAGACAGAGTTTCTCTTCTGTACATTGTCTATCATTTGCCCTTCAGTTGTCTTTTTCTTTATTGACTTATTTTTCTTAACTCGTGACTTAAGATATAGTTTGGCTATCTACCCCTCCCAATCTTATGTTGAAATGTGTCTCCAGTGTTGGAGGCTGGCCCTAGTGAGGGATGTTTGGATCATGGGGACAGATCCCTCACGAATCGCTTGGTGCCCTCCCCACAGTAACAAGTGAGTTCTCACTCTATGAGTTCTTAAGAGAGCTGGTTGATTTAAAAGAGAGCCTGGCATCTCTCTTGCCATGTGACACACCTGCTCTCTCTTCACCTTCTACCATGAGTAAAAGCTTCCTGAGTCTTCACCAGAAGCTGAGCCGATGTTGGTGCCATGCCTGTACAGCCTGCAGAACCATGAGCCAAATAAACCTCTTTTCTTTATAAATTACACAGTCTCAGGTATTTCTTTCAACAACACAAAATGAAGTAACACAACTTATAAACAATCTAATTTTATACAGTGAACCCAGAATGGTAATACTTAAAATGTGCTAATTTTATCATTCCTTCAAAATAATCTGTTTTGTGATCAAAATGAACATCAATATGGTAGTAAATATTTTTAAACTGTGACTATGTAAAGCCTCAGAGCAAGGAATATAAAAGTAAAGTTCATCAATAATCTTTTTTTTTTTTTTTTTTTGAGACAGAGTTTCGCTCTTGTTATCCAGGCTGGAGTGCAACGGCGCGATCTCGGCTCACTGCAACCTCTGCCTCCTGGGTTCAGGCAATTCTCCTGCCTCAGCCTCCTGAGTAGCTGGGATTACAGGCACACGCCACCATGCCCAGCTAATTTTTTGTATTTTTAGTAGAGATGGGTTTTCACCATGTTGACCAGGATGGTCTCGATCTCTTGAGCTCGTAATCCACCCACCTCCGCCTCCCAAAGTGCTGGGCTTACAGGCGTGAGCCACTGTGCCCGGCCAGTTCATCAGTAATCTTATTACTGCATATAAAGATGTGCTTGTATCCTTCTGTCATTGATACCATGTTTGCTTTTACCTCCAGGGAGAAATTCCATGATTAGATAAAGATTCCTCTTATCTTGAAAACTGTAAAACATCTTCACCACCCAGGCACCATCTGCTTCTACCAAAATATCTCTTTCTGCTCGAATATGGGCCACCTAGATGAATATATTTTTGAAAAAAATTATTGTAAACACATCATACGTTTGTCAAGCTCATCTCTTGCACTTAACCATCCATAACAGTAATGAAAGAAAGATGGAGTTTCAGAAGATTTGAAATATATATATTCATATTCTCATCAATATGGAGAACCTCAAGAAATAGTTTATTTTAGTTTATATCTTTTAAGTCTGAAAAGGTGAGGTCAACAGATATATTATGGGAAGCTAAGGCCTCTGAGAACAAGAATCACTCTCAAAACTTTTTAACTAGAATCTCTACCCAGCCTGGCTTTGTCACATACATTTAGGGCACTATTGTGACTTTTAAAGTTAAAAGTAATAAATAATGCCCTGTAAATTGGTACAGCAAAGCCAAGCTTGGCTAAAAATAGCAAACTATTTTTAACTGTTAAAGATTATGTTTTTTTTTTAAAGAAGTAGTAGGCCGGGCGTGGTGGCTCATGCCTGTAATCCTAGCACTTTGGGAGGCTGAGGCGGGTGGATCACGAGGTCAAGAGATTGAGACCATCCTGGTCAACATGGTGAAACCCCATCTCTACTAAAAATACAAAAAATCAGCTGGGCACAGTGGCGCATGCCTGTAATCCCAGCTACTCGGGAGGCTGAGGCAAGAGAATGGCCTGAGCCCAGGAGGCGAAGGTTGCAGTGAGCCGAGATCGCGCCATTGCACTCCAGCCTGGGTAACAAGAGGGAAACTCCACCTCAAAAAAAAAAAAAAAAAGTAGTAACAATTATAGTAACTTTATATTAAGTTATTATAATATAAAACCTCTATCATATCTACAAATGGTAGCTACAGCAAATTCATGTAACTTTTGGGGGTTGTGCTACTGATTTCTTGGACACATAATCACTAGAGATACTATTATGTGAAAATGTTATGGACTGAATATTTTATAAATTGGATAATTGATGGGGTTGGTATAACTGGTCAATTTGTAGGTGATTTTGCATTAATATATTCACATATTTTTTCCAAAGGTTAATAATAAGATTTGATTTACGCTTTTGCTATTTTCACTGTGCACTATTATAAACTCTGGTCCAAAGCACATGAGAACATAAATTTGTAAATCTTTTCATGATAATAAAATATAATCTGCTTAAAATATCTATTTGGAAATATTGCCTAGTGCAGTAAATACTCGGAGATCAAAGCGTAAGAGCTGAGGAGTAAGAACTTGTTTTCTGGCATGAAAATACTTTATAATTTCTACGGATCTGTTTCATTAACTGAAAAATGGTAGGAAGAGTGCCTACCTGTTACCTTTCATTAAGCAATTTAAGGTGGTAAGGAAAAGTCCTAAACTTTGGTGTTGCATCTGGTGTGTAAAAAAAACAACTACAAAATAAACTTCGCTTGATTATTTTTAAATGATTATAAAGGCAAATTAAAGGATATGTTTCCAAAATAGGACCCAAATGTTGGAAAGTATGACTTGTGTTAATCTGGTACCACAACAGTGGGGAGATTAGTTGCTACTTAATTTTGTAGGGTGGTTTGCATTAAAATGAATGTGATGAAAGTTAAAATCTTGATATATTAAAATTGAGTAGAAAAAAGGTTTCTAAACAAAATTCAGTGGTAACAAATGCAAATTAATTCATACAAAAGGAAAAAACAACCTCAAAATGCAAAAACAAGAAGAATTTGGGCTACAGTGAAATTTCTGCGCCCCCCACCTCCTCACAGGAAAGAGAAGTGGTCCAGAGGCTCCTTAACTTCCCACAAAATATTCTAGACCAAGGGCTGTCCAGTACAGATGTAATACAAGTCACATACGTAATTTTTTAATTTTCTAGAAGCCACATACAGAGTGAAATTATTTTTAATAATGTAGTTTATATAACCCAATATATCCAAATATCATCACTTCAATATGTAATCAATATAAAAATCATTTAAATATTTTATGGTATTTTTTTTTCTGCACCAAGCCTTATTTGCTGGATATCTCAATTTGTGCCCAGTAGGGTGGCTCGTATCTACACTACAGCTTGAGCTAATTGCTTCCTTCTGTCCTTCCTATTAAACCCTTTGTAGGACTAACACCATTATGGCTAAGTTAGATTCCTATTGACCTGCTTGTCTCTGAGGCTATGCATCTTTACCTACATCCTTACTCCCATCATTATCTACAGTTCTCTAATCCAACTCAATATCTCAACCTTCCTTGCTTTCTAAACGTCTTCCCTCTGGAGAGCCTGTCATCAACAAAATCCCCTATAACCCTGTCTCTGGATGGTTCCTATTACCTTCTTACCCTAACTGAAACTAGGGTGAAAGATCACCCAACTATGCTAACAGGTTTCACTTTAAATTCATGACTGCAAAACTCAGTGAGCCTTCAACTGCGTTTCCTTAGCAGATCTGCTTTCCCATACCTAAAAATGACCATTTCACAACTTTTCTCCTTAAATCTTCAAAAAGTCATTCCTTCTTTACTCAAAGCTCACCCCCTGGAACTGCATTAAGGCACAGGAAACATGGAGAGAGCCCAGAATATTTACAAAGTTACAGGCTTTAGAAATACGTAAAATCAGCAAAACTCTCAGAACACTAGTTTTGATTATTTGATATGTGATAGGGGTTGTGGGTGCTGAAAACTGTCCTTTATTTTCACTGTAGTCAGAAAAGGAGGTATTTCAGAAGTTATGGACTGAATGTTCGTGCCTCTTTAAAATTCATAGAGTAAAGCTTTAATCTCCACTGAGGCTGTATTTGGAGATGGGCCCTTAGGGAAGTAATTAAGGTTAAATGAGGTCATAGGGGTAGAATTAGTGTCCTTATAAGAAGAGACACCAGACACTGGAGTGTGTGTCCCCACACACACCAAGGAAAGGCCATGTGAAAACTTAGTGAAAAGGGGGCTGTCTGCAAGCCAGGAAGAGAAGCCTCACCAGAAACCAAAACCTGGATGAAGCTTCATTTTTGACTTGTAGTCTCCAGAACTGTGAGAAACTAAGTTTCTCTTGTTTAAGCTAACCAACCTGTTGTGTTCTGTTATGGAAGTCTATGCGGACTAATACATAGATTATAAATTTGGAAGAAACCTTAAAAGAACTGAGAAACACCAAAACAGGCCATCAAAAAATTAATAGCTTATGTAGTAAGATGTGTAAATTGCTTCTTAAAAATTCCAACATAAACACTCTAACATCTAGTCAGTGGATGCTCCTTTATATTACATGTGTTAAAGAACTCATACCTGCTCTTTTTCAAGCATATCAGCCTTTCTCAATATCTTCATTGCATAGATATGGCCTGTATCTTTCTTCTGGACCAACCGCACCTAAAATATAAAAACATGTTATAAATATAACAGTCATTACTATTTGTTCAGGAATCAAAAGTAGCTTCTCTTAAAGAAAGCAGGAACTTGCCAGTGTTGGTATTTGAGGAATTACATACACACACATATATTTATTTATTTTAGATGGAGTTTCACTCATCGCCAGGCTGGAGTGCAATGGTGCGATCTCAGCTCACTGCAACCTCCACCTCCTGGGTTCAAGCAATTCTCCTGCCTCAGCCTCCCTAGTAGCTGGGATTACAGGCACCTGCCACCATGCCCAGCTAATTTTTCCATTTTAAGTAGAGACAGGGTTTCACCATGTTGGCCAGGGTGGTCTCAAACTCCTGACCTCAGACGATCCACCCACCTTGGCCTCCCAAAGTGCTGGGATTACAGGTGTGAGCCACCATACCCGGCCAGGAATTATATCTTAACACACATTTTAATTATCCTAAGATACATATTTGCAGCAGTAGTGACTTAAAAAGAAGCACACCTCTCCAAAAGCTCCTCTTCCTATAACTTTCAGAGACTCAAAGTCATCCAAGCCAAGTCTGGTCCTTTTGAGCCGTAAGAACTCTGTTTCTTTGCGAGCGTGTTGTGATCGACGTAACTTTTTCTATTAAAAAAAGATAATTTAAAAGGATGATTTTATAATCAGGTTGAAGGAACTTACAGCATTAAAAGATGATACACATAAAAATAAATGATACCACTAATATGTAAGATACTATTAGACTAAAACAATTTAAGGAAACTTAAAAATTTTTTTTTTCTTTCTCTCTGTCCTTATTTTTTAGTGGAGGAGGGGGAACTTTTTAAAATTTCTAACAACCTCCACTCTCGAGGTAGAAAGTTAAATATCTCACTTAACTAGTCCATCATATTTGTGTATATATGTATAACTTATTCTTTATATGGTAACAATTCTATAAATAAAAATTAAATGTTAGTAAATTTTAATAGTATGCTGATACTGATTTTTATTGTCAGGAAATATGCTTTGTTTCAATTCCCTAATTTCCAAGGTTGCTCTTTCACAACTACTGAGACTTGTGACAATAATGGTAGTATTTCCATAGAGATTTACTTGAGGTAGAATTTACTCTTGGGCAAATTTTAATAAACTGCTTGAGACTTGGCATACAACTTCCTGAAAATATAAAATTGCAAAAACAATTACAAGAAGTCATTAAAAGTCATTAAATTGGCTGGGCATTGGTGGGTCACACCTGTAATCCCAGCACTTTGGGAGGCCAAGACGGGTGGATCCCCTGAGGTCAGGAGTTCAAGACCAAACTGGCCATCATGGAGAAACCTTGTCTCTACTAAAAATACAAAAATTAGCCAGGCTTGGTGGTGAGTGCCTGTAATCCCAGCTACTTAGGAGGTTGAGGCAGGAGAATTACTTGAACCCGGGAGGCGGAAGTTGTGGTGAGCCAAGATCACGCAACTGCACTCCAGCCTAGGCGACAGAGTGAGACTCTGTCTCAAAAAAAAAAAAGTTATTCAAATATCCAAGTCAGCAATTTCATAACTGATTCTAAAAAGACCACAAAAAATAACTGCCATTAATAAGTAACACTGTGAAATACCTGAAGGTTACATATGGAACAGGCATTTATTTTATTGTTCTAAACTTCATTTTTCCCCATTACCAATCAAAATTCTGTTTTTGACATTGCTCCTAGTAGAGGTAACACTAAGTGGAAAACAGTATCAGTGAAAAAAATTTAACTCCTGTTCATCTTCAGCTGACTTCTATCAAGCTTTTAGTGGTTCAGTTAGGAGAGAGAAACAAATCAAAATGACAGTAACAGCTTAGAAACACTGCTTCTAAATGCAGCTCATGGTATAGCCCCTCCCTACTCCTGTGTATATCTGTTTTTAAAAGGGATAGGTGAACTATTAATTAGAAATATGTAAACCTGTATTATCAATGCAATGGAATTCTGATACTTCTAACAAAGTTGATCTAAGAAGTTGAAATCAAGAAACTATGTCTTCAAATAGCTAAATGAAGTTACACACCAAGCCCGTGTAACTTTTTATGTAAAAATTATGACAGTAATGAAGGATAAAAATCAAGTACACAAATTAACAGGCTTTGCCTAATGTCTTTTCCCACATCTGATATTGATTATAAACTACAATGATACTGTGGAAAAAGTAAGCAAGCAACAATGAAAGATAATCTTTTTCTGTAAGAAGTGGGGCAGGCAGGGCACAGTGGCTCATGTCTGTAATCCCAGCACTTTGGGAGGCAGGTAGACCACGAGGTCGGGAGTTTGAGAGTGAGCCTATCCAATATGGTGAAACTCCATCTGTACTAAAATACAAAAATTAGCTGGATGTTGGGGCATGCACCTGTAGTTCCAGCTACTTGGGTGGCTGAGGCAGGAGAATTGAGAATTACTTGAACCTGGGAGGTGGAGGTTGAAGTGAGCCTAAATGCGCCACTGACTCCAGCCTGGGCAACAGAATGGGACCCCATCTCAAAAACAAAACAAAACAAAAAAAAACCCTGAGGCAATAAATAGGCTGATACAGTGGCTCACGCCTAGAATTCCAGCACTTTGGGAGGCTGAAGAGGGTGGATCATGAAGTCAGGAGATGGAGACTATCCTGGCCAACATGGTGAAACTCCATTTCTACTAAAAATACAAAAATAGCTGAGCATGGTAGTGTGCACTTGTATTTAGGAGGCTGAGGCAGGAGAATCGCTTGAACTTGGGAGGCAGAGGTTGCAGTGAGTCGAGATCATGCCACTGCACTCAGCCTGGGCTATAGAGCGAGACTCCATATCAAAGAAAAAAAAGGTGATTCAGGAAATTAAGTAACTACGATAAAGATATAATAAACATTACTCTATTCACCTAAATACTATCCAGACCTAGTGGCTAGTTTAAAAAGCAGATTTCCCTGATTATGGAATTACAGTGATTTTTCTCTTTTAAACATGTTTCATGGAGCTAAAACTACATTGATATGATCAAGAAAACAAAAAATGTGACCTAAAGCAATAGGGAAGACTATTTTTTGCTTCTTTTTACATAAATGCAATGACGAATACCCTTTTTTGCCCATAGTAGGTGTTCAAAAATATCTTTTGAATAAAAAAATGAATTACTAGTAAAACAAAAGATCTCTCTAAACAGTAGCTGATTTTAAATTTTAAGACTAATTTTTAAAAGGCCACTTGGTGGCACTATAGCATCATGTTCTTTATGGAAGTAGTGAGGAGGTTTTGTTTTGTTTAATTACATAAATGAATAAGTATAAGAATTTTGAAGGATATTTTGAGTCTCTCCCTTTATAGATTATAAAACAGGACAGATGGATATAGTTGCAGAAATCCTGCCTAATCTGAATGGAAAAGATGACCTTGCTATACAGTTTCATAAATTGTCTAGGAGTTTGTATAATGCAGCAAGGAAACAATTTATGTGATTTGGGGCACAGCCATTTAATAGCAAAAGGAGAGAGTCACAGGTGAATGGAGCACATAATTCTATAAAAATGAGCATCACCTATAACATTGTTACATTACTTAAAAAAATATCAATTCCGTGATTTTAGTCTTAGAATCAGTGTTGCAGTCCAGAAGTAGCTGAAGCAAATTCATGTTAAAAAGAAAAAGAAAAAAAGCTGTTTATGTATCTACTAACAACCTGTATAGATTAAGTAGCCTTGAAAGACAAATAGTATTCTTGTGGTAATCCCATCCTTTCCTCTCCAAAGAAGACAACAAAATCGGTGGACAGTGTAACATTTCACACAAGTCTCTTTTATAGCTTGTACTTGCTTATTTTCGTTTTTCATTAAACAACATTCCATGTTGGATGGGATTTTCTTAAGTAAGATGAAACTAGAAAATGATTTTATTCCTTTCTCCATCCCTTTTTAAATGGGTGCTCCTCAAACTCTCGATCTGTAGGGTGGCCAGTATTTGCATAAGATAGACAGTGCATACAAACGTTTTCAGATGTAAAAGGGTTCAGCTAGCAACTTCATTTTATTTTTATGAAATTATTTTATTTTTTATAAAACCCACCCCACATAAAGATAGCTGTGATGTCCTTTATATTAAGGTTGAGTTTGTCTATTTTATAGAATTTTATATAATCCAGGCTCTAGCATGGGGCCTAATGAACAAACCTACGGATATATTTGATTTGGACTCCAAGTTGTTTTTCGAAACAGGTGATTGGTGATTCCACAAAAAAGTCCAGATTTCCAGCTTCTCTGAACAAACAGGGCCTTGGTCACAGGGGCCAAAGGTAGCAAACCCCTTTAGATAAGCCTTGATTCCCTAATTTGTCAGTCCCCATCACTGATGCCAGTCCCAAGGAGATATGTCCAAGTAGGCTGGGACTCTTGTTTTATTACAGCAGTGTGAAAAGTGGTATGTCTTTGCCAACAGATAAACTGAAGATCAATATTTAGGAAAATGATAAATCCTTTTAAAAAAGAAAATAGATTAATCTATTTCTTTGTGGAAGCAAAAAGAGTCATGTAAGTTGAATATGAAAACAGTATATCCGGATCAAAAGAATATATATAACCTAAGATGCCACTATGAAACCAATCTGGCCAGCTTGTCCCACTTATGTCGCACGCTTAGTGCTTGGGCATCTGTTTTTATAGTCTCTTCCCTATATTTCAAATTAAGATCTTATGTTTAAGATTTCTATATCAAAATAATGATGTACAACATATTAATATGAGTATATGGTTATTAATTATAAGAATTTTATATTAATGACATGTAAATAAGATAATTTTAAATGTAAAAACCTTTGAGTCAACTGATTAACAAAGTTACCACCTTTTGTATGAATAACAAAATACTGTATTTGATTTAAACATTGCAACTATAAGGAACAGGTACAGTCCTAGGAACTGTACAGGGAAGATAAGATATTGATTTGATTTCAACTAATCATTTGATGGTCTACTCTTTAAATATAGAAACTCTTTTCTCATCACTGAAACCATTATACTTTTTTTTTTTTTTGAGACAGTCTTACTCTGTCACACAAGCTGGAGTGCAATGGCAGGATCTCAGCTCACTGCAGCCTCCGTCTCCTGAGCTCAAGTGATCCTCCCACGTGAGAGCCTCCTGAGTAGCTGGGACTACACAGACAGGACACCATCCTTAGCTAATTTTTAAAATTTTTTGTAGAGACGAGGTCTTACTATATTGTCCAGGCTGATCTTGAATTCCTGGGCTCAAGTAATCCTCCCGTCTTGGCCTCCCAAAGGGCTGGGATTACAGGTGTGAGCTGCTGCACTCAGCATGTTAAACTAATCAACCTAGGCTGTGACTCCCTATTGCCCAGTACTAAAATATACCTTTCTTACTAAACTATTCTAAACCTAGCTTTCCGTGGTGTGCTACGAACTTACCTATTTCCTTTTATTACATCCTTTATAGCTCAAATGTAAATTCATTATTCTCTATATGTATTCATTATTTTGTATACACCTTTTACCTCTAATGTAAATACTACCCATTCTTCAGAATCTAAATCAATTGTTACTTCTATGAAATCTTTTCTGGTCCTCTGAATCAGAGGAAAAGTCTTCTGTATATTTTCAAAGTTCACCACAGTCTATCATATGTACATATTTTTACATACACTCACGCTCTCTCTCCTAATCTAAAACTCCTCGAGGGTAAACGCCATTGCTCATTTATTCAAATATTTATTCTAGCTCTCTGCCAGCCAGCTGTGGAGATGTAATGCTCAACAAGACGTTATAGTGTCTAGTCTCTGGGAAGACTCTATTTTAAGGCTCCTATGGGGACAGGAACAGTAGAATGCAGAAGTACCTTGAGAGGTTAAGGAAGATTTCCCAGTGGTAGTGATGCCTGACATGAGGCCTAAAGCTGCTTCTTTGCCCAGGCTGGAGTGAAGTGACATGATCATAGTTCATGGCAACCTCGAACTCCCAGGCTCAGGTGATCCTCCTGCCTCAACCCTACCACGTAGCTAGGACTACAGGCACACACCACCACGCAATAAAGATACTTGAAGAATAATGGGAGTTGGGTAGGAGTAAGGAAGAGTTCCAAGCAGCAGAAAGAGCATGTGAAAAGGTCCACAGGCAAGACAGGGAAAATCAAAGAAATTCATACTGGTCAGCATGGGGGACGGGTGACAAGAGGCAAGGCTAGAGAAAGATAAGCAGAGGACAACTAGTGAATGGTCATGTATACCAACGTTAAAGAGCTTGCCCACATCCCAAGATAAGGGAGCCAGGGAAGGATTATTAAGCAAAAGAGTGACGTGATCAAATCTATTTTTAGACTGATTACTCTAGCAGTCTGCAGAAAAACTGGGTGTGGGAAAAGGGGAGACCAGCTGGGGACAGTTATTCTTCAGGTTAAAATATATGGTAGTTTAAACTCGGGTAATAGCACTGGACTAGAGAAGTAGATGGCTTTAAAAGAATATTTAGAAAAAAATTTAGAAGAGTTAACAATTAGTTTATTCCTCCTGGAGCCTACCTTTCTCGTTCTACACACCTAAAATACAGCAGGTAATGTTCTCTAAATATGTGTTCTTGGAATTTAAAAAACAACAAAACAAACAAACAAAGAAAAAACTGCTTCCTTCTAAAGATATCCATAAAAGGTATCCATGACAGCAACAAAGTAAGAAGCCCATATTCAAATGATAAAATCCACATTATTTAAGTTATAAAATACCTGATGTCAAATGAATGAAAAAGTCACTGGGGATGCTTTTGTAAAGGAATTATAGGTAATTAATTACATTACCTCTTCATCTGCTAATCCTTCTTCTTCCATGGCCACTTCTAACTTCTTCTGCCTTTTCAAAGGAAAAAATAATTTAAAATTTAAACACATTCCTAACTATTGCTACTTAAGAAATACACATTTATTTATTCAAGTTAACCACTTCAGTCTGCTATGCTATTAAAAAAAAAAAAAAACTTTCAAGTTGGACCAAGATAATCACTAAAAATAGTTTTCCTTCTCAAAAAACAAACCCAGATTTTGCTTTCTCATACTGGCCAAATGAAAAATTTACTTCTAAAGCTTACTTCACTCTCCTACCTAAATGAACTGTTGGCAATAACTGATGTTCTAATATGGAAAACACTGCTATCTAATGTTTAATGCACCAAAATCATTAATATTTCTCAATGTTTATATTAGAAATATAAAAAGATGACTATAATGACTAAAAGTAAAAAAGTTTAAGGTAGATATCCCTGGTTCTAACACTTATTAGCTAAATGATCTTGGCTAAGTCCCTCACTTAAACTTTAAGCTCAGTTTTCCTTCATTTATTAAGGAAAAATGTTCAGTACAATTGTGTATATTTTATTGTATTAAAATTCTTTGAAAATTGGAAAGTCATACGTGTATATTTTTAAAAACCTACTAGCTACCAGAACATCTGCTTTTCTAGGTACAGCCAGGTTCAATTATTCATTTTTTTTTTAAATGGCATCTTTGAAGTTAGTTAAGCTAAGCATTTGGGGTGAGGGCAGTGTGGATGAAGTAACTAAAGCTAGAGAGATGGCTGTAAAACACATTTTGCAACTCATTTCCAAGTGAATATTAGTATTTTATTTCTATTGTATTAGTTTTCCCTAAACATAAACCTAGCAGAACTCCTCCTAATTAGTTTTGGAGTGTGTCAGAATAACACTTCAGTTTCCAGGATTTGGGTATAAGGATTGAAAACCTCCCACAAATTTTTTTATATTTGTTATTCATGTCTACATGTCCAAAGGTAAGCTTTTTCCTAAACCATCATTAAGATCACTTATTTTTCCTTCTTATGGAAGATTTATAACATTTAAAGCCTGTTGATACATCAGCACCTCACTGGAGAAGATGAGGCCTAAGAGCATATTCTCCACCACATGCTCCCTCAGTGCTTGTCATAGGTACCTACCTTGGTGCTTATTACACTGATTTTTATATTTTATTTATGCATTATTTCCCCTAGGCCCCAACCCTTAGAAGGGAATATGCTCCTAACGTCATATCTGTGCTGCCATTACCTACCCCTAGGCACTTCAGTGCTGCTTGTTGAATGATTTCCAGTTTTCTCCTCTGCAGAGAGAATCCAGAGAGTAAGAGGACCATTATTCTGGGAGGAGCTATCAACATATAAGCAACTTTATTCTTCTGTTGAATTTCCACTGCCCCTTTCCTCAATCATTGCCAAGACTTAACACTTCTTGAAATAATTCCTCATTCTGGAAGAGATACGGTAACTTTTATCCATTTCTACCATATCTAAACAGGAAGGTCCATGACTTTTGTTGTTCATTTTTAAAAAAGTTTTCTAACTAAAATACTCTTATGCTTTGCTCTGATTAGAAATTTATTGAGCATGTGCATTTATCCAATTAGTTAAGCCTTAAAAATACATCACATGTTTTCTTAAAACATAAGCTTTTAGAAAATGAGCTAATTGTTTGACTTGACTTCCAGTGGCACCAAGCTGAGACTACTTTTTTTTTCAATAGTGCAGATAATTTTATTCTTACTTTCTTTTATTTGTTAATAAAAAGCAAACTGAATTACTTTAACACTGCAGCATGTAAAGACAATGAACCTTTTAAATTCTGATGAACTTTTTTAAGTGCCTGCTTGTTCTTCCTTGTCTTCTACTTTATTCACTTTCCCAGGATGATCTGATCACTTCCAGAGACTTTAATTACCCTTATAATTCATTTAATTATTGATATATTTAGATTAATTTATAACTTATTTTGTGATATTTTGGTATTTCATTCATTTTTTCCATTTTTGGTACTTCAGTTTTTCTTTCTCTCTTGCATTATTTTGAACGGACTTTTTTTTTTCCTCGTTCCAAATTTTTCCTTCTACTAGTCTGGAAGTTACAAACTATTTTTATCATTTTATGGTTACTCTAGAAATTACAACATAATTTGTCAAACTCTGAAGCTAATTTCTATGCCCTTTCTACTAAGGTCATTAAGTTAATTCTAATTACTTATTTCCTGAATTGTATTCTTCTGTCGGAAAATATTATACTTTAATTTCTTTAATGTGTAAGATATTATCACTATTATTTCTGTTGCTTTTTAGAATTTTTGTTGAGATTTATCCACCTGCTTACCATTTAGATCTTCTGACGGTGATCACTTTCCTTCTGCCTAAATGGAACCTTTTGGAATTTCTGCTGGTGCTCTTTTTTGTTTGTTTGTTTGCCTCTGCTCCATTTTCATTCTTCTCTTCCCTTTCAGAACCTTTGTAGATAGGTTAGCTCTTCTCATGATTCTCCATGTTTCTCAACTCTCTTTCACATTTTCCTATTCTGAGTTGATTTCTGAATAATTACTTATTTTCAGAATAAGTAATTCTCACCCTACCTGTATCTAATCTGCTATTAAACTAATTCTCACCATACCTATATCTAATCTGCTGTTAAACCAGTCCAAAATTAAATTAGACTCTTCCTCTCTATTTCATTTAGACTGTACCACTCTTAGTTTGCCCAGGCACGACATTTCAGGGGCAACATTGACTTGTTTCCCTCACATTTCATATTTGGCTAGTAGCCACATTTTGTCAGTCTTTCTCACTTGTCAGTTCTCTGTTGTCATTGTCACAATCTTATTCAGGCCTCCTTTTCATTTACCTGGACTACATCACAAGTCCTTCCTGTTTCTAATTCCCCACTCGGACCCCAAACCATTCTCTGTATCACAAACAAAGTTATCTTCCAGAGGAACACTTGTGATCATTTGATTCTTCTGCTCAAAAACATCCAAGGCTCTCCACCACCATGAAAAGAGCTACATTAACAAAGCATCCAAAGCTCCCAGGATGTTGAAATGTGGCACATATTGTGCTTGACCCAAATTGGACACTACCTGACCTGGTGATTTCCTCTGTCTCTAATATCCTTCCTCCTGCTCTTTTGCCTCCTTCTCCTCCCTTTTATGCATGTATAAATAATATTCTTCCTTTAGCGCCCAGTTTAAATGCACCACTATTTATGAAGCTTTCCCAATTGCCTTAGTCAAAAGCACATTCTCCCTTCCTTGTTCTTATTTTTAATGATATTATCTTTACTCTTTCATGTAATCTTATAAGTTTTCTTACTGTAAGTTTTCTAAAGGCAAAATAACATGCCATTCTTTTTTTATTCTTCTATTCCCACTGATGTGCACACACCACTGTAAATGTTTTTTGGATTAAAGTCATTCATAAAGCATTCCCCCCCATTTTTTTTTAGATGGAGTCTCACTCTGTTGCCCAGGCTGGAGTGCAGTGGTGTGGTCTTGGCTCACTGCAACCTTCAAGTGATTTTCCTGCCTCAGCCTCCTGAGTTGCTGTGTTTACAGGCACCCACCACCACACCCAGCTAATTTTTTGTATTTTTACTAGAGACAGGGTTTTACCATGTTGGCCAAGCTGGTCTTGAACTCCTGACCTAGGGTGATCTGCCTGCCTCAGCCTCCCAATGTGCTGGGATTACAGGCATGAGCCACCACACCCAGCCAGGCATCCCTTTAAAAGAAAATATACAGACATATAATTTCATGTTTGGAAAAGGTTTAAAACATACTTGACATGTGATATAAGTATATGGATGCACAAGACTTGGGACACCTCAGTGCCCCAAGTGCCTCACAGAGTACCTCACTCTGTGAAAATAAAACAAGTGTCTATGTGCACTGATAGTACAAGAAACTTATAAACAGCATGAAGGGACCCATAATATTCATATTATTCATGGAAAACAAGCTTATACTCCACTCACAGCACAACAACTTAATTAACTAAAAAAAAGTTTTCATTAGCCGTTACTATACCTGGTTTCTCTCTCTTCATGCTGTAAAATTAGGTTGCTATAAAAATTCTCCAATGTGAGCTTGGCTACAGTCACTCTTTCCCGGGTATGGTTGCTCATAGGAAAGGTTGTTGTAGTCCCTGCCGTCATTGCCATAGCAACGGAAACTGAAACAACAAAGGAAACAAATTATTCAGTAGGAAAAAAACCTATCTTTTATAACAAACTCTGAAAATGTTTAATTTTAACTAAGAAAAATCCTACCCTGTTAACACATCCAAATATTTCACATTATAAATAATACAAAGCTAGTGGAGAAAGAAAAAGCACTATTTCCAAAGCAAGAGAAATTCATATTGTGATGACAAAACCAGGAGTGAATGACAGCAAAGAAGAACCAGTGGCATCCATACATAATATAGACACATTCATATACACTGTGTCACATTCAATAAGCATTCAAAACAAGAAAAGTTCCATCTACTTTGTTGTTTCATTACTAAATAAAATCTGTAAGACAGTACTAATAGTTATATCCCTGATAAATGCCAGTCCAAGAGTTAATGTAGTTTAGTTAAGTAGCTTCTGCCTTATGAATTCTATGAAACATGAAATGTATCAAATATGCATATAAATACCAGTCTAATGCAATTTTTACATATACTATATGGGGTAACTACTTTTAGAAGCAGGACTCTTTGGATAGGGCCATAGCTGCCCCATTTCATTTTGAATTCTGGGTTATTCCAAAAAGTGCTATAACAAGGTATAGTAGACTTCTCCAGACTGTGCAGCCCATTTCATTTTCAAATGAAACTCAAATGCCTATAGGAACCAAGAAGGAAATGGAAATGTATGAATGAAGCCAGGTAACAAGAGGGAAGCTTTGTGGCCTTAACTAGATGATATATGTCTGCTTAAAGGCATTCCAGTGCCAACTTTTAGAGATTACTGGGCCACCCAAAGTACTGGTTCAAAGAAGATAATCTGGACTATTAGATAAGGAGTGTAGCAAAATGTCTGCTTCAAAGTGGGGAAGACTGAACTCTGGTGGCTGTGGCAGGTGGGCACTGACCCTAAGAGACTTGCCTACCACAGCACTTCTGGACAAAAAGATTAGAACAGTTCATACATTAAAGAGGCTTTGCTCATCTAGATGAAAATCATAATAGACCACTCCAAAGAAGATCGAGCTTGCCAACAGTGACCATCCAAGGCATTCTTAGTTGAAAATCATTCACCCAATCTTGCCATTTATGTCCCAATATCCATCTTGTTTAATTACATGAAGATACAGAGCCCTATATGTGGATCTGAACTGGACTAGATTCCAGGGCTGATGGAAGGAACCAAAAGATGTCAAGCAAGACAAGTATAGGTTGGAAGCAAACAATTATCTATGGCAAACTCCCAGTTCTACTGTTGTCCTGTTGGGGGTTTATACCTCAGTGTACTGCTTGAGCCTCAGAATAATTATGTCTAAAAAGGAATCTACTGTTTTGGCATTATAAATCTGTTCCTCTGCTGACTGCTTTAAATGTTTTCATAATGAGAAGCTGATCAGGTCACTTGTTTAGAATCATTCATGGCTCCTCATTGCCTACTATGAGCTAAATTAGCTAAACATAATAAATAAGAACAACTCACATACATTGAATGTGTGTAAATATCAGGAACTTTGATATTTTACTCACTGATGTCCCCCTTTTTCTCTCCTGAGAATATACGATAGAGGCACCTGCCATGCATGACTGCATTTCATCCTCACAACAGCCCTGCAAAGTAGGGAAGTGAAGTTTGAACGGTCACATAGCTAGTGTGATGAGGAGTTAGGACTCCAACTTGCTATCCTTTCTATCATTATCTGCTGTTCTTCCTCACCACTCATTCTTTTCCCAACATACCTGGCTCTTTCAGGCCTCCAATCTTTTGCATGACCTATCCCTGACCTATCCACGACTCTCTCTGCAGGAATCCTGCTGATGCTTTATAGCCCAGTTTAGCTGAAGTCTTACTGTGGTGACTTCTCTAACATGCTCTATCGGAAGAGGCATCACATTTCTCATTTTTTTGTGCATGTTCTCCAACATTGGTAGTTTGGCACTGGTGCTTATCACTTCTAAGAAAAATTCAACCCTAACTCTAACAGTTATTCCACCAAATCAGGAATGCCTCCAGGCAAGAACTCTTTCAGATTCATTTTTCAAAACTCCCCACAACAGTACTGTCTCTGACACAGAGTAGGCATGAATGAATGAATGAATGAATGAGACAATCTATTGATGGGGGGGCGCTGCAGGAGTAGTTGAAAGAATGAGCCAACAGTAAAGTACTCTATAAAGAATGGCTAATAAGCAACAGTAGAAAAAGAAATTACAGAAGGTAGAAGTTAGAAATGAAAAGATCTAATCCCAGCCTTGCTGCTAACTGATCATATGGTCTTATTCAAATCACCAGAACATCCTTAAGTCACTTCTCCCAAAACAGGGCTTATAATATTTGCTCTGCCTGGTTCACAGACCTAGTCTAAGGCCATTTGAGATAACACACAGGAAGGCCACAATGGCATATACAAATGTAAGATACTATTCTAGGTACCTAGTTTAATCTTTTTATTGTGATAAATCTTTACTTATAATGAGTATTATTTTTAAAACAATAAGTAATGAAAAATAAACTCAAGAATTATCATGGCCAAGTAATTTTTAAGAATTTAGCTGGCTGGGTGTGGTGACTCATGCCTGTAATCCCAGCACTTTGGGAGGCCAAGGCAGGCGAATCATGAGGTTGACCAGCTTGGCCAACATGGTGAAACCCCGTCTCTACTAAAAAAATACAAAAAAATTAGCCAGGTGTGGTGGCACGCACCTGTAGTCCCAGCTACTCAGGAGGCTGAGGCAGAAGAATCACCTGAACCCAGGAGGCGGAGGTTGCAGTGAGCCAAGATTGCACCACTGCACTCCAGCCTGGGCGACAGAGTGAGACTCAGTGTGGAAAAAAAAAAAAAAAAATTAAGCTGCTCTTACTGGATTGCTATCTAAGACAATCCTGCCAAACCATTTTTGGAAATTTCAGCATCATTGGCCTCATGTTCTGTGTTTCGGGATCAGATGCAGAAAGGTCAAAGAATGCCAGGCACAGTGGCTCATGCCTCTAATCCCAGCACTTTGTAAGGCCAAGATCACTTGAGGTCAAGAATCTGGGACTAGCCTGAGATCTCGTCTCTTAAAAAAAAATTAGCTGGGTGTGGTGGTGCACACCTGTAGTCACAGCTACTCTGGAGGCTGAGGCAGAATTTCTTGAACCTTTATTCAAGGTTACAGTGAGCTGTGATTGTACCACTGCACTGCAGCCTGGGCAATGGAGCAAGAACCTGTCTCTAACTTAAAAAAAAAAAAAAAAGGTCAAAGAAGGAAAAGTGAAACAGGGACGGTACACAGAAAACATCTCTCAAATCAAATAATAATTGTTAATTGGGGCTTGGAGTGGGAAGGGAAGAATGGACTGGAAATTTAGGAATTTATGCAAATTGATGAAATCCAGACTATACAAAGTTAAATAAGTTTCTTACGGTAACACTTCCCAGCATCTTTCGGTTTTTATTGTTGTTGTTGTTGTTGTTGTTTTGGAGACAGAGTTTTGTTCTGCAGCCCAGGCTGGAATGCAGTGGCGCAATCTCAGCTCACTGCAACCTCAACCTCCCAGGTTCAAGGGATTCTCCCACCTTAGCCTCCCCAGTAGCTGAGATTACAGGTGCACGCTATTGTTTGTATATTTAGTAGAGATGAGGTTTCACCAAATTGGCCAGCCTGGTCTCGAACTCCTGTCCTCAAGTGATCCACCTGCCTTGGCCTCCCAAAGTGCTGGGATCACAGGCATGAGCCACCTTGGCCGGCCTTCCCAGCATCTTTAATATGCTAACATGCATTCTAAACCCTCCAAAAGAGGATAGGTATACAATTTGTAGTAGTATTATAGTGAACCTCCCCTAAGCATATAAAATTGAAGTTCATAGATACTTCTCTTCCAATGCTTTTTGGTAAACAACTGCCTGTTACTTTTTCAACAAACATTTGAGGTGAAGGAACCTTAAAAGTTCCAACAAAGAGCAACACCCTACAATTGTAGAATGATTTCTGACTTGCCTTCTATTTGTTCTAGCAAACAGATACTAGTGAACAGAGAAAATGTCTGGAAGATCTATAGCCAATAAGAATTTATAAAGTGGTTTGCCTCTTTACAGATTTGCCTTTACAAAAAAATCAAGACCCAACTCTAGTTGTCCAAGGCCTTATGTATTTCTTTCAAAAAGTGAGTGGTGAAAAACAAAAAATAAACTTTTATAGTACCTCTTGAAAAAAGCACAAAAAATAACGCATCACTCACAGAGTTATGTTGTTCATAGTTATGCTTGCAGAAGCTGGAGAGAAAGTCATATGTGGTCTTGGAGGGAGCTGACTGTCTGCCAAGGGGACTTGTCAGGCAGGCTGCCCTGCCTGGTCTGCCAAGCTGCAAGATCTGGCCCTCTGCTGCCACTGTCTCAGGGCAATCAAATTCTGAAATCCACTTTATCCTAACAAAGTTCACAGAAGACAAATATACAGGATAGAATGGCAACGTATTGATTTACACAGTAAGAAACTGAGTGACAAAAAATTAGGTTCAGAAGATTGCTTGGCAAGCATGGCATCAAAACAAAGAGAACTGTTATTCAATTTAAATGTTTAATGACATCAGGATGAGGCAGAATCTGAAAAACACAAGGCTGATGGCTATCTTGCCTAGGGTGCCTAGGCCCACTGGAGAGTGGCTGTAGGAGATGGTGTGCTACTGACCAGGACTTCCAAGAATGAAGCCAAATTGGGGGCCAGAGGTGGAACTTCTGAGGAACATTATTGAGCAAAACTTTTGAGGAAATTTTTGTGAAACATAAAGAAGTGCTAGGGAATTCAAAATAATCCCAAATAACGAAATTGTCTGCATTAACAGTATAGAAACAGTGGCACATGTCTATAGCCCCAGCTACTCGGGATGTTGAGACAGAAGGGTCATCTGGGCCCAGGAGTTTAAGGCTGTGGCACACTATGGTGGCACCTATGCATAGCCACTACACTCTAGCCTGGGTAACAGAGCGAGACCCAGGCTAAAAAAACAAAAACCCAACAAT